ACAAATCTGTAAGTTAAAAGATTGTTGAAGTATAAGAATAAACAAATCTGTAAATTAAAAGATTGCTTCAAATAGAAGAAACCGAATACTCTCACTCTGTTTAGTTCGGAGTGAATTCTGTATAAATGTTTTTTCTGGTCTTTAGTTCCATTTTCTATTTAAATTTTTATTTACATTTTTAAACTACCGCGTTAATATCTAGTTTCATGGTATGACAGGAGTATTTGGAATAATTCTACGATATTTTTTGATTGTGAGCGTGCATATTTGGTTCACCGTGCCCGCACTGGAAATAATCGGTTCGGCCTAAATGCTCGTAACAAGTAACAGAAATGTTTGATTATAACTGTCTAGATACCTGGCCATCTGTCACCCGCTGTCCCCCGGAGCCCGGTCCTCTACTGGAAAAGCTAAACGTGTAGTTGGAGCTGTCTGGGCCGCTTCTTTTCTATCAGCTGCTCCCTGGGCATACTTTACCAAGGAACACAATACTCCTCATTCTTTAAAAAGAAATATATTTTTAAAATTCAAAAAACAATGACAATATATACAATATACAATATACGCAAACTGTTATAATATTTAGTCAAGCTTAAAACATATACATTATACAGTATACATAAACTGTTTTAAGATTTAGTCAAACTTAAAATATGTACAATATACAATATACAATATACATGAACTGTTTTTATATTTAGTCAAACTTAAAATATATATAATATACATTATACAGTATACATAAGCTGCCTTCATATTTAGTCAAACTTAGAATATATACAATATACATTATACAGTACATAAACTGTTTTAAGATTTAGTCAAACTTAAAATCTATACAATATACAATATACAATATACATAAACTGTTTTATTATTTAGTCAAACTTAAAATCTTTACAATATATAATATATATAAACTGTTTTAAGATTTAGTCAAACTTAAAATAAATACAATATACAATATACATAAGCTGTTTTAATATATAGTCAAACTTAAAATATATACAATATACATTATACAATATACATATGCTGTTTTATTATTTAGTCAAACTTAAAATATATACAATACACAATATACATAAACTGTTTTATTATTTAGTCAAACTTAAGATATATACAATATACAATATACATAAACTGTTTTAATATCTAGTCAAACTTAAAATATTTACAACTTACGTAAACTGTTCTAAGAAAGGTCAAGATTTCAAATTTCAAAATTACAAACATTTTAATCTAGAATATATAAGAAGGTTATTTTTATGACAAAATTTATGCTAAATCTTTAACGATTTTTTTAAAATGCATTTTTTAATTTGATATTTTTCTGAGTGAACTAAGTGTTGATCATAAACCTAACAAGTTTTGACATTACAAGCATTCAGTAGAAATCTATTTTTAGGAATCTTATTAAGTTTGTTACTTGTTTTCAAATGAAGATAGGAGCGCGAAAAAAGTTTTGGTTCTGAGTAATGAGTGAGGAGTATATTATCATAGAAACTTGAAAAGTACATTTTTCAACCTTATTTATGACTTGTTTCTTCTATCTCATAATTGATCATTTTTAATTCTGGGTTATCTAGAAAAGTGACACATGCAGCGTAGTAGTCTGTAGCCATGATTGTTTCTATTAAATCAAGTATAGAAGTCTGTTTTCAGATTTACAAAAATTTTGAATTTTCCAAAAGTTTTACAATTTAAAAAGTTGTCTCTTTTCGAAGAATCGCAATAAATCAATTAATATTTTCAAATAAACTGAGTTCTTGGCAAAAATGCTGATTTTCTTCTACTACTTATCTTTGCAACCCGATGGTGTTTTGCTGTAATATTTAAAACTGTAAATTCTGTTAGATGAAATAATCTAAGTTTGAATAATTAAAGGCTTCACCACCAAGTTTCAAAGTTTCAAGTAGAACATTTGATTTTGTCGCAAAAACAGTTGGTAAGAACTTAGTTCCTTTTCAGAGAAATATTTCACCATGAATCCTTCACTAGAAAATACTTTTAAATTATAGCTGTGCATGCAGAGAAGGAAAATAATAAAACTTTTAATGTCAATAGTTCATTAATAACTCGGCTTTTAGCCGCTGTGCGTCTCTTTTTCTAAATAAACAAATTTTAGCGTTTAAATGTTGCTCTTCAAGTTGTCATTTTTTTCTTTGTGATAGTAAAACTCCATTTTTTCGCGGAATTTTTTTTTTTTTAATTTGTGCATTTTAAGAATGAAAATTTTTCATATTTTTGTCCTGGCACATTTTTAAGAATCCATAATATAATCATGCCTGGGGTCATGTGAGTTTCCACAAAAAAATTACGTCCGATCGGTCTCACTGTTTTGACGTGAATGAGATAGAAGTATAAATGTATAATATAGATTATCGCAAAAACAACAGGGGAATTATTAGCAGAGATGCTGTATGTTACAAGACAACACTATTTAATTTATTAAATTAAAATAGAAAAATTTTAAATTAATTTTTTATTTTTCAAATGTTATCTAAATTTTCTGAAAATTGGAGAAATATTTTAGGATTCATTTGATACACGTACAAAAACATTTTAATGATGTTTAATTACTGAGTTTGAGCACAAATTTGATATTCTTAATTATCCATTTTTTAAAATTATTAAATAAAGATTGTTTAGGAACAGATTGAAAAAATAAAAATTATCTCTTATCATCAAAAATAAGTAATCTTATTCAATTATTAGTTTCTGTAGTCTCTCATTGTTCACAAACATTTTCTGTAGATTTTCTGCAATTTTTATTGAAAAGAAGGCATTTGAAGAATTTAGAAATCTGCGAACAAATTCGCAAAAAATAAGAAATTTAATATAATAATAAAACGAAATAATTCATTCTAACATTGAATGTTTGGGAAAATTTCGGTTGAAAAATATATTTAATATTAATATTTAATATTTTTTTTTAAACTACTATACATCGACGGTCACTCCCTTTTTAAGTTGTTTAGGAAATTAATGTTTTTTACCAACACAAGGTTGAGGCTAAAGTCCGAATTAAAAAAATACTAATAAGTCTCGTATATTAGGAAAAAGTGGGATGGGGGGATTCTAGCAGACTCTTCATGTTTTTTTTTATTTTTCACCAACCCTGATCTTGAAAAAAAAACTTTCATTTGTGTCTACACTTTAAACCATTAGTTGATGCAGACTCGGTATTTTATGGTGCCTTGCAGACATGGCACATCATTAGAAAGCTTATGATATAAAAATTAATAGTTAAATGATTTATATATTTTCTATATTTTCTAGTATATTTGAGCATTGATTGTACAGATAAACTATGTTCATTATATTTGAGTTTGGAATTGTACGGATAAACTATGTATCTACATTGAATATTGAATTGTACAGTATATTTGACAATTTATTGTACAGTAAATTTGAGTATTTAACTGTACAGATATTCTATGTACATTATATTTAAGTATTGAACTGTACAGGTAATCTTTGTACATTATATTTAAATATTGAATTGTACTGATAAACTGTGTACAGTAGGTTTGAGTATTTAATTGTACAGATAAACTGTGTATATTATATTTGAGTATTGATTGTACAGATAAACTATGTACATTTTATTCAAGCATTGAATTGTACAAATAAACTATGTACAGTATATTTAAATATTGAATTGTACTGATAAACTGTGTACAGTATATTTCAGTATTGAATTGTACAGATAATCTGTGTACAGTATATATGAGTATTGAATTGTACAGAGTTTAAAACTAAAGAATGAGCGAATTTTAAGTTCGAGGTTAAAATTTCTGTAAAATAATGAGTTGCTACTTAAATATTAAACTTTCTCAATTTTAAATTTGAATTTCCCGGGAAAAATTTCACCCAATCAGAGAAAAGGATTTATGGAGAATATTACGTAACCATCGCTAATCAGCTGTTTTAGTTAACTTTTTAATATTTACGTAACCGAAAACAAAACATATTTCCAGTTACAAATGTATTTTGGGTTTACGTGCAAACATTAATTAATTTAAAAAGTGAAATTTATTAAATCAAGGGTTTTACTATTAAATATATCGGTATTAGTTGAATGCGCGCCGCTTATCGCTGCATGATGATAGACAAATACGGATTGCGCGATTTCAAGATTTTAACCATGTGTTTAATTTTAACCCGTCGATTTCGGCGAGTTAAATATTTAACCACAGGTTTAAATATTTAACCTCACGGTTAAAGTTCGGGTTTAAATTAAGTCAGAAGTGGCATTTAACCATGAACTTAAACTTTAAGTCAAAAATTTTCGTTCTTTAGTTTTAGACTCAGATAAACTGTGTACAGTAAATTTTAGTATTTAATTGTAAAGATAAACTATGTACAGTGTATTTGAGTATTTAATTGTACAGATAAACTGTGCACAGTATATATGAGTATTGAAATGTATAGATAAACTATGTATAGTATATTTAAATATTGAATTGTACTGATAAACTGTGTACAGTATATTTGAGTATTTAATTGTACAGATAAACTATGTACAGTATATTTGAGTATTGAATTGTACAGTTAATTTGAGTATTTAACTGTACAGATAAACTATTTACAGTATATTTGAGTATTGCATTGTTCAGATAAACTATGTACAGTATATTTTAGTATTTAATTGTTCAGATAAAGTATGTACAGTATATTTGAGTATTGAACTGTACAGTAGATTTGAGTATTTAACTGTACAGATAAACTATGTACAGTATATTTGAGTATTTAATTGTACAGATAAACTATGTACAGTATATTTGAGTATTTAATTGTACAGGTAAACTATGTACAGTATATTTTAGAATTGTACAGATAAATTGTGTACAGTATATTTGAGTATTTAATTGTACAGATAAGCTATGTACAGTATATTTGAGTATTGAATTGTACAGATAAACTGTGTACAGTATATTTGAGTATTGAATTGTACAGATAAACTATGTACAGTATATTTGAGTATTGAATTGTACAGATAAACTATGTACAGTACAATGGAGAGAATGTACTTGAATCTGCTTGGTGCAGTATTCCTTTCCACGAGAAGGAGTCTCAGGTTAGTAACTCAGCGTAGGATAGTTTCATTTTTGGGATTTTTCCAGAGGAAAAACATGAAATTATTTAGTTTTAGTGGCAGAAAAATTCAAATTTTGTGTGAAATTCACAATTTATTTTTTCTTCAGTTTTAAGGAAGTAATATTTTAACTTTAACTTTAACTTAGGGAAGAACTGTTTTGTTTTACTCTTGATTCAAATGAGTAAAGTATGAATTGTCTGTTTAAGTTTGTGCGCTTTCCAATAATTACTTTAATATTTAATATTCTTGGCTATATATATCCAATATCCATCCAATCAATATTAAATTATTCTGGAATGAATTATGGTTTTTTTATCAATGTTGGACAGTGTACAGTACACACATAAAAAGTTTAAATTATTCACGAAAACTTCGCAGTTGACCAAGGGACGTAAAGTAACTATCGTCCCTCTGTTGGTATACAAAAGCGATTTTTTAGCCAGTGAAATAAATTGTATAAAAGGATAATATTATTGTTGAATTAAAAACAAAACGAAATTGAATTTCAATTCCAAGATCAACCATTTCTTTTTCCTTTTTTATTGGCTATGATGATTTATTTTCAACAATCCCCATAATATATGGTAAAAGTAATGTTTTAAATCCCTACTTTTTATAAAATATTAGCTGAAGTGCCCGACGTTAAAAAAATATTCGAATTTTGAAGAAAAAATTTAAAAATTTTATTACCCTACACATGAGTTTCCTTATAAAATGTAGGTCAATTTGGTCCAGCCGTTTGGCCAGCTATAGCTAACCTACTCATATGAGTGAAGACAGCTTTATTATATAGATATTTGTTAAATGAAGGCGTCTCTGTATTTGATGGCAGCTTCAACTGTTGTATACTTCATCATTCCTCTGGTTCTTGTAGTGGCTCTGTATCTCAGGATAGGTAGTTTAATTAGTCTGGAATTTAAGGGATTGTAGCCGTGATTTCAAATGACCCTCCGTGCAAAGATGACAATGCCTGATTCACAACAGTACCTTTGAAACGTTAATCTGATTAAAAATTTGGAAGATCCGTCGTTTTTCTGAAAAGAATGAGTAAATTTGAATTTCTTCATTATTTCGTATAAGCAAGAAATGCGCAAGACACTTTTGCAGATATCCCACAAATGAAGAAAAATTTAAACAAACAAAAATGTACATTTCTACCTAGTTCATACTTGATCAGACAAAGCTATTAAAGGTGCTTTTGTAAATCGGGAATTTCCATCTTTTTATGGAGTGTCACTTGAAATTTAGCAGACAGTCCCTAAAAAGCTTAAATTATCCGTGACCAGATTTAATGAATTGTGAGATATAGCATAACCACGTAGATGTAGTTGAATCCCTTTTTCTTAACCCAGCTTTCTAAAAGGTTCAACTTAGTTTACGTGATTCAAATTTTTTTTCGAAATCTTATCCCAGTATTTAAAAAATTTTAAATTGCTTAGGGAACTATTCCACTTAAAAGGAATTTGATCCCAACTGTAAAAGTTTCTTGCCTTAATTCCCAGCCCTTGATAAGTTCAACTCTGAGCTTCTTGGCTAAACCTAACAATAAACGTCAAGTTTGGGAACAAATGTTAAGATCGTCGTTTATGTCTAAAGACCAAATCTTGACAAAAAATAACATTTCCAACATTCCTCCTTTTTTATCTAAAATTTGTGATGTTAACCTTGATTTAAAATTTTAAAAAAAGCTTTTCAAAAAAAGCTAGGTTTGCCTTTTATTTATATTTAATAAAAAATGTTCAACAGTTAAGTTTTTTAATCTGCAAGCTCAAGATGATATATTTCAAAGGAGGAAAACTTGTTCTTTAAGATATTTAAATTTTAGAATATGCCAATAGTTGGGAAAATTTTGACCTACACGAGAAGTTGCGTGTATCTGAAAATTAGTATCCAACCCAGCTTATTGAATTATTCTCCGATTATGCAGATTTTATTATCCAGGATTAACCATGAAGCGCAGCAAGATGCAGCGCTGTGCGGCATCCTGCGAAGGGAACGACTGTAAAGCAGAAAGGTGGGTACATAGATTAATAACAATACAGATAGAACACTAGATGTCGTTTTTTCAAGATTTCGGGGTTTTTCGTTCACAATAACCCTGAGCCAGAAGCCCAAAGGAGTTGAATTACAGACAGAGACCATGCGCGTAACCCCTTTGGGCTTCTTCCTCAGGGTTATTGTGAACGAAAAGCCACGAATCTTATAAATTCCGTACAGTCGTCTCTGCAGTCTCATCAAACTTAAACATCTCGAAACTCTTAAAGGGATTGCTAGCGTGATTTTAAGTATTCAAAGATAGCAATGCCTGATTTAATACGGTACCCTTAAAAGCCTTAAGTCTGAACAAGTATGAAAAAAAGTAATATAATAATTTTAATATAGTCGTCTTTGAAGTCTCATTTTTTGTTGGTAAAAACTTGTGTACATGAAAATTTTAAATATAGATTTTATCTAGAAGTTTTAAACTGCATGATCAGTTCTCAATTTGTTCTGTTCATCCCTAAGTCACAACAGAACAGTAAAATATTAAAAATAAACTCTAAGATTTTTCGCCTCAGTAACGCATGGTCTTCCGTAAAATTTGGTCTGGATGGAAGATACCGGCTAGGCATGGTAGTTGAGCCAAGTCCAAATTTAATGAATTTGAGCCGCGGCTTAAATCTGCCAAAAACCAGTTTCAATTGAGCGCCGCCTTAAATCTAAAAAAAATGTAAGTGAAAAATTCTAAAATTCTTTAAATTCGACCTCCGGTCTCTCCCTTCAAACACACTTTTAAAGGGATTAAATTTAGATGACTGGTGTTAAATTGTACCCTCATGTCTGCAGTAGTAATGAACAAAGTTTGAACTCCAGGGTTTAGTTTCAATACAATGTTTCAGGGATGGGAAACTTAAATACTAACGAACTATTAAAATTGCCGAAATGTTTATAGATGGATATAAAAAAAATTAAGTCTTTGGCCTCAAACTCTGATTTTTTAATCCTTATATCTTTTTAACCAGATGTCGTTGACATTAGATATTTCAAACTATAGAGCTTTTTTACATCAAATAGTCTAGGTTTGAAATATTAAAGGTTTGCACCATCAGGTTGTACCGATATAGGGATTAAAAATTTGAGTTTGTGAAAATGTCATTGTGGCCAAAATATGTTTTAAGGAAACATTAACACGACAAATACTAAACAATTTATTTTGATGAATCGCTGGAATAACATGAAAGGGATTGCCTGTTTGAAGCTTAGTTCCAATTTTTTACAAATTTTAAGATTAATTTCCATTCTGGATATCGAGTTATAATGGGTTTTTTAAATCATAAGTTGCAACCACAGTTTTGTTCATTTCCAATTTTTAAAGTTTCCAGCTCCGTGTTTGTCTCCTCCGAAGATTAATAGTTTGTTTTGATTCTCGACTTTCTGGGGGAATCCAAGTTTGATTAATTATTCTAATTTTTCAGAACTCTTACACAAGGGAGGAGGACTGTAGTCAGGATGTTAGGTAATATCTAATTTAAGACTTGTATATACTATCCTTGATAAAGCTTACACAAGGGAGGAGGCCTGTAGTCAGGATGTTAGGTAATATCTAATTTAAGACTTGTATATACTATCCCTGATAAAGCTTACACAAGGGAGGAGGACTGTAGTCAGGATGTTAGGTA